TCAGGGAGCCACTGGAGTGAGCGGCATCCACCTGTATTTGGACAGATCTAACTTTGGCAGCACTTTGGACAGCTGGTCACCAACCTGTTTGACTCCAAGGAGAATCCTCAGTGTCCTGTCTGGTGTTCCTGGCTATGCTACTGAATGGGACAAGATAGAAGACCTCAGCCTGTCAAATACTATGGTAGTCACTGAGCAGCCTCCACAGCCACATCACGCAGCTCGGTCACACGGACATGACCTCTCCTGGGTCCTCTTTGCTCCTAGTTCCTCAGTGGTACCTGTAGCTGGTCTTAGAGACTCTGTGCCTACACAATAACTCACCAAAGGAAAATTATGGCCTGCATACTAATGACTAATGACACTAAGGATTGCCTTCGTTCCTTAAAATGGTTTTAGGAGCAGGGAGAGTTTTACAACAATCATTTTTGGAGAAAATCTTTACTATGATCCAGGATCATGTCCTGTTTTACATAAGATTAAAAACATGTCAGTCACTGAAATGGCAGCTCAGGTACATTTATAATGGCACCCACCTCCCCTCCAACCAAAATGATTCACATTTGTTACTTTGTAGATTTGATTACATTGCAGGTGTGCACAGAGAAAAGCAAAATCCAAGAAGAGATATAGGTGTTTCTTTAATTTCTCCTCAATAGAAAATATTTATTTATACTAAGGTGAGACCAAAGGATTTTTTCTCCTACGTCTTAAATTCAACTCAGGAGAAACAACCACATATCATCTCATTTATATCTTCCTCAATCAAAACAAGAGATCTCTAACTGATCTTGAATAAGTCTAATTTAATTTAAGTACCCTGAACATTGCACCATATGAGACCAGAGAAAGAGCCAAAGAAACTCACATATGATTCCTGTAAATGTTAAGTATTTCATTTTAGGGGCTTTATACTTTTGCTCCCCTACATTTTTAAATCCTGTATTGTATTTATTGCTGTTTATCTGAACCCTATAAAGTTACTGAGATGAAGAAAATAATTATTTGTCAATGAAAATATTGCACAACTTTGTTACAGCCAGCATAACTGGAACACCAACCACTGATGTTTGGAGATTAATTCATTAAGGACAGAATGCATGCATGAACTGAGGTACTACAATGTCATACAGAATGAGCACTTTTACTTTTGATACTTAAGTATATTCACTATGACTATGGAATACTTTTATACCTTTTTGAGGACTTGTGATAAATATCTATTTCTACTTTTCTTGAGTAAGGGACCATTGTACTATATTTAAAGTAACTATCAGCTGGATGGTGCACTGGAAAAGTTGTTGCACTTAAAACAGAAGGTACAGTATTCAAAATGTGCTCAGGGCATCCTTTTTTATCTCCTGAGGACAAAAAAGAGCCATTAATAAGACTGAGCAAAGCATCTCCCTCAAGTCTTCCTATGATGTCTTAGCCAGAACCTGGGCAAATGTGGAGGGAACACAGACAGTTCTCCTGACAGTGTTGAGGTCCCCCTTAAACCTCCGCTGCCCCATATACAAATACACACAAAGTGGCCTGTACAGTTCCACAGATTCAAGACTCTCTAAAACCACCATTTTTCTTTATACGTCTAAAATTGTATAGATTTTGTTACTAGCTGCATTTCAGATTTAGATGAATAAAATACAGTCAACAATTAAATTACGGTGTTTGCTTATGGTACTTTTATACTTTTAGTTAAGTAAAATTTTAAATATATGAAATTTTACTTCTAACAGTATGTAAAGCCTGGTGTTTCTACTGTCACTGATAAATGTGTTTTGCTTTATTTTAAACACTGTAGCCTGTAACACAGGCCTCTGTGTCAGAGCTGAGAAGTGGAGAATATTGTGGTGACTTTGCAGCCTCTCGGCTCAGGCTTAATTAATGGGCCATCAGCGGAGGGACACGCCCCCCTGCACCTGGAACTTGCCCCCCCCCAACCTTTCAGCAGCGCAGCAGAGAGGAGCAGAAGAAAAACAGAGAGTGGCCGGAGTTTGGAGAGATTTGTTAGCAGGAGTTTGGAGAGATTTGTTTGAAAAATTTAAAGACGAAGACTTCATCTTAACCGACGCAAGAGGCAATTTCAGAGCAGGTAAGATTTATAGATATTTCTGCTTCTTGTCAAATGATGTTAATGTGCAATATTATTTTGAATGGAAGAAACAGCAAGCTCTAACTTTAATTGAGTGGCTCCAGAACCGCTCCAGTCAGATCTCCAGCACACAATTGATAGGTACATGGTTTAACATGATGGCAGAAGTGCATATTTAATGGATTTAGTGCAGATGCAACAGAATAGTGCTGTTAAATTGTAAATATTTTTTTCTGTGTAAATAACAATACACTTATAGGCTACTGTGCATGAGGCCGTATTTGCTTTGCGACAAATCCCAGTCTGTTTTTTCTGCTGCCACAGCTGCTTTTAACTCCCCTGTTACTGTCAGTAACAATTCCACCTCGTGTTAGATCCATGCAGAACTATCTCTGGTGTGGTTTTTAGTCTGTAGTAGTACCTTCTTCTTTTAACAAATCTTCTACTAATGCGAAGTAGACAATGTGCTTCCTGTTTATACCGGCACGCGCATGCTCAGTGTAGGCTATGTGGACGGCCACTTCACGTATTCAGAGACAGAGATCCATTCTGTTATGCAGATAAAATGCTGCTGGGGACGGAGATCGTTTTTGGTTTAAATCTCCTTTTAAACAGAAACGTAGTAGTGCGGATGTGGCCCAAGACAGGTGAGCCAACATTACACCTGAGAGAGGACACTGAAGTAGATGTAACACAGTCTCTTTTATTATTATTTTGATCCCAAAGCAGCTCTGTTCTCATGGCTTATTGTGTGAAAATTAAATATTTATCAGCTACTACTTGATTGATTTAGTACCCTTTCCTATTGCCTGTCTCACTCCCACCTCTGTGACTGTCTGTTTAGTTAGTGGAGGGAAAGCTTCTGACAGGGAGAGCTGAATAACAGTTGCCACCATAAAAAGAAGAAAACGTGATGTTTCCTGACAACAGTTTGTTTATAAAATTAGGTAAAATCTGCCCGCAGCCTGCAACGGATTTTCAAAAAGTAACACTTACTTTATAAAGTACACCTGTAAAGTCTTATACAATCCATTACAACAGTGCTGCCACAAAGTCTACTTTAATGATGCCTTTAATCAGTTTTCTTTTTTGACACAGTCATATAGGTGTTAAGTGAATTAAATTTTTTAGCACTGAGGTCATAGTTGGTGAAAATGTTGTACTGGACTACATCATATTCAGATGTGTTTAATATTCCGCCCTACTCATATATATAAACAGGGAGAGCAAAATCACCTTTCAGTGTAACAACACCTTGAACTATAGGCTTAGTAATAAACAGAACTGAATTTACACATTCCTGACAAAATGGTCAGAAACTGAACCTGTTGTACAGAATTGCAGTAGATTGTACAGGTGTCCTGAATAGTCGCTACTGAGTATAAAGCAGTATCTGGAAACAAAGCACAAATGGCACATTGTCTCACTGGAGACTTGAGACGTAACCTCGTATTTATGACAGGGTGTCCAATTCACTTAAAACATGTGTTTATTCTCTCTCTCACTGTGTAGAGAGATGTATTATATGATATGAAATGCAGCAGTACTGTATCACTTAATATTACTACTACACATTGTTATTTTTATATTTTGTTCAGAGTATAACATGACATCATTTTCATTATTCTCATTGGTGTTAGGTCCAGGAAGAGATCGCTATGAGTCAAACACAGGTATGTGCCTTTACAAACTCTTTACTCCATCCTGACACTGACTTCTTTCTTCACTGTAAAAGTAGTAGTAGTTGTGATTCAGCGTTAAAGCTGACATTTTTAAATGAAACAATATCAGCTGCAGACCGATAATATAAACAGGAATTTAGGGCTCGGGCAATTCGTCAACATAGTCGATCCAGTGTTGGCAGGATTCCCCCGGACAAGCTAAAGTTTGGAAGTATTTTAGACAGACAGTCTCTGTGATCTGAGAAAAGCTTCACTGCAGCACAACTGTCCACGAATACGTGAAGCAGCATGAACACGTGAGCGAAAGTATCCTGGAGCACTGACGGCAGCACCGCAAATCCTATTTACTTTCTGTCGCCACACGAGCATGGCACATCATCAGCACAAGGACACGTAGTATTTCTTAATCGCTTTCATGTTAAAAGTAATTTTTGCCCCGCTGCTGTCATTGTAGCATAACGTTACACCTCAAGACATCGAACGTTCGGCCGTTTCATATTTTCTGTTTTAATTAACGGCCACATATGAGCGAGAAAACAGCTGAAACTAACATTACAGACGATCTGTGACTGTCTGTACAGTCTGTGAATCCTTTCAATTGTTTTCTTTGCCCGACACTGATGCAGAAATGCATTTGATTATCATACTGCAGTACTCAATATTGAAATTAATCCATGTCAAAAACATTAAAAGTTTTAAGTAAAGTAGCCTAATAATTAATGTCTGTTATTGTTGTTATCACAACACATCAATGGCGTGGAAATTTGATTCATTTTAAGATTTGCTGCTATTCTTATTTTTATATATATATATATATATACACACACATTATTCTAATGTGCTTCATCAGGATGATTAAAATATAGATTTATTTATTAGGAATGTTTTTGATATTTATTTTGGATAAATTGGTATGTTAATCGAGTAATAGGCAACTTTTTTCCTTTTAGAATACAGAAAATTAGTCGTTAGATTAATTGGGTAATTGAAAAAATAATCGTTTGATTAATTGACTTGAAAAATAATCGTTACGTACAGCCCTAATCAGAAATTGAATATCTGCAGGCTTAGAAGTTGTGATTATTTTACAGTACTTAATCTTAACGCTGTTCCTGAACTTTAGCTGCCAGTAATCTTACTGCTAACATCAGGCGAGATGGATTTATATAGCCTGCAGTGGAAAAGCTACATTTTACAAGGGGTTGGGGTAAACAGCTGACTGAATGGGATATTGCTCAGCACTGGGGATGTAGCGATTGCTGGATTTCACTATTAACCGTGCTTTAAAACGTCACGGTTAATTAATCAGCGTTTCCCACACATAGGGTTTACTTGGGCGGCCGTCCAGGTAGATTAACAGCTGCCCAAGTAAATTTGGCGACCCATTTTACAATTGTTTTAAAATAAGTAAGTAAAGGTAATACATAATAACTTAAATAATGTGGCAGGTTGTTGGGGAATTA